ATTTGCTCATTAATATGTAGGAGGGAAAAGTTACCAAATTGTAATTATGAGTTTGGATATTTTTCATCTTATAAATATTATCTGTTGGTAAAATAATTTAATTTTGAGCAGAGTATTCTTTTTTCCCTCAAAAAACAGTTCATGGAAATATATTATTTTTCTCCTTTGGCTTAGACTTTAGACAAAATCAAGAAACAATTTAAAAAGGAGAGTCATTGTGACGAGATAGAAAATGTGCACCACAAGAAAATGTTAGTTATTGCATGACAGGGAGCAATCAGGCAACAGCTACGTCTCATGTAAGGGCCCTGCTGGCCAGGACTGTCTTTGTAAAATCTGTTTCAGTGGGTGAGACATGTATTAAATAATCAAATGTAGCCATAAACACACGATTGTGAATTTTGTTAAGTTGTATGGAGGAAAAAACAGTTATGCTGTTGAGAGTGAGAATAACGGGAGAAGAATTCAGATTGCCGTAAATGGAGAAAATACGATCTAAGTGAGGTCCTGGGGGGGAAATGAATTGTTCGTTAGGGATTGAATGGCAGCGCCTGTGACTGATGCGTGGCGATCGCGGGAGAAAGCTAAGAAGCGAGACGGAGAGAGAAGCGGGGCTGACTCGGAAAGGCCTTGAGGATTTTCTCGTTAGTTCTGTCGTGCCAATTAGCTTCTGAAGTTACCGTCTTAGATCAAAAGAACTATCGATATCTAAGTACAATAAGGGATTTGGGCAAAATGTATGATACACGATTGTGCTTAAAGACACGAATTTTGGTTTCAGATCTAGACTCAAATTCTAGCTCGACCACTTTTTAGTCTGGGATTTGGGGCGCAGGCTTCAGCCCTGTGAGCGTCTAGAATATGGGAGTGATGATACCTGTGAAAGGATTAACTGAAGGAGCGTATATGTCTTAGCCAGGACCCTCTTGGAAATAAAACCTAAGTCGGACATTGAGTCGCTGCTACTCTGTTTGTGTGGTTCCGGCCCAGGACAACGAGGCTGAGGAAAACGGGGAGCGAAGCAGGTATTACCGATAGAGCAGGTATTTCGAGAATGAAAACGGGATGGAAACAGACTCTGAGACAGCGATTTGGAGCTGGCAGTTACTGGGGAGCACTTGGCGGGGGCGGGCGGGTAACATCTCTAGGGGAGTGGAGCAGAGGGAGCAGCTGAAGTGCATCAAAGGTCGCCGCCAACCTCAGGAAGCCATGGGATTTCTTGGGTCTTTGGAGTGGCCTCGAATTGAGACAAAGGCTCTGGGCCTGTATGTTCCCTCGGTCACCAGTACCTGGATGCAGCCTTGGGGGAGAGGATGCCAAAACCTGATTTTCTCAGTGGGATACAGCTATCAGCAGTCAGCCACCAACACTCTTGGCAGCTGGGTGGTTGGGTGCGTTTGTCCCATAGAGAAGAATGCGAACTGATGAGCTCCTGCAGCGCAGGCCACCACTCTACACAAGCCCTGCAGTGACTCAGCGTAGTGCAGCAGGCACGCTTGCTGTCTTTAGCCACAGGGGCTTGCACGGAGTCCCCTCAGCAGTCCATGGAAGACTGAAGAGAAATTTATGTGTGTGGCTCTTGTCCATCTCCCGTTTCCCACTGATTAGGGTTTACCCCACACCTCATGGCTCTGAGGAGGCCCCATTCCTTGCCCTGTATTGTGGAATTCGGTCCACAAAGTACACACTGATCGGGGGAGAGAAGGGAAGTCATCGAGGAATTTGAGAAAATGTGAAAGATTCGTATCCACTTGAGTAGATAAAGCAAATAGCCTGGCACCTGGCTTAGGGTAAATATTCAATAAAATATTCACAATAGCTTGATGAGGAAGATACTACTATGATATTTGCATTTTCAGGTAAGGATATTGAGACTCAGAGATTAACAGCTACTTAGCACAGCTGAGGTTTTATAAACAGGTGTCATTTCAGAGTCTGTACTGTAAGCCACTCCACTCTCTTGCCTCCAAGTGGCTATTATTTTTATCATTATTAAAATAGAAATATTTTATTATCATTATAACATAATAAAACATATTCAAATATGTTAAGGCTTTACAAAAGTCTCAGTAATTTTTAATGTTATTTTTAAACTAACATCACAAACTTCTTCATATATATGAAAAATGATGCACGTGGTCCTGGGAATTACCCAGGTTCTTTAACTACGTAGTAGGAAACAGAATCATAAGATGAAAGAAAATATGCCTGGTTCATTCAATAAAAAATCTCTTCTGCATAGATTCTTGTATCAGCTTGCTCTGGGGTTGGAGACTCTGCAGTTTAAGGATTCTAATTCCACTTCTGTCATTAACTAATTTGTTATTCCAAGTAGGTCATTTCATTTATTCGTGTGTTTTCATATTTGTGAAATAGAAAAATTAGCAACACCTATCCCATAAATATCACGTCACGGATTTTTTTTTTTTTTTT